CGCTTAATCATTTGGAATCCTTACTAGACTATCTTGAGAGTGAAGAGGACAGTTTATTAAGTGACAAGCTAATATTACGTAGGCTTCGTACGGATATCCGTAAAAAGGAAAATGCCGCGAAAAAGCAAAAGACAGTATTAAATTATTTTAAGTGTTAAGTGTGACCGTAAAAAGTGCTGGATGTTGTTGAACAGTGATTGAAATAACTAATTCATACTGAGTGTAATGTAAAGAAAGTATTAAATAGGCCATGAGATGACATAGAAATGAGGATGAATAAATTTAAATACAGGTAGGTCTATAGTATTATGAAGGTATTAAAAGGTAAAAGGTAAAGTTGTTCCTCTGCTCAACGAATTAAGCCCTACGCCATTAAGGCGTGTGGGGGAGTGGATGTATAGATCCAAATTTTCTTGACCTCGGCACTAGTTGGAGGTGAGTGGTCAGCTTCACGCCCCGGCCGCTTTACCCCCGGGGAAAGAGCCCCCGGTACCCATTGGATAGGAGGTTGGATGGACCCCAGAGCCGGTCTGGACGATTTGGAGAAGTTAAAATTCTTGACCCTACCGGGACTCGAACTCCGACCCTTCACAGTCGTCCAGCCCGTATAATAAAATTTGGCTTAACCGGGTTTTCGATTAACCGTGACTTCCATCCCCACCATTAGCCCGGATAATCGAGAGTTGACTGTATTACTATTAAAGTAAATACAGTAATTCTACTCATACCGTCAATGTGATACTTGCGCCTGCATAGTTGCACACAGGCGACTGATCCATGGTGAAATCGTTGACAACACAAGTCTCATTTCTTCATCGATGGATTTGAGCCACTCCCTCTTTGATGTCTTAATTTCAGTTAATGTCGAGAAGCCCAGTTAACACAAATATGTAGTTGAAATTGGCAATAAGATATTAACTGCCATCTTGAAGATAGCTGGGTATCCACTCCTCATTGCCAACCAAAACATATCCAAAGGCACTTTGAGAAGTTTTAGTTTCAATGTTCTGCCTGCTTTTAAATCTGCGAGTTCCTCTTGTATATTAATCGGAAGATGTTCTGAATTCACAACAAATGGATCACAAACCCAGTCTAACCGCCCTCTTCTTTCGCCTCCTCTTCTTCTTCTTCCTGTTCTTCTCCTTTAAGTCACCTTTTCCACAGTCCTTCTCACCTACCTTCTTGTTTCTACTTACGGTTATCTTCTTGTACTAAATTTTTATCTCAGGGTTCACTGTTTAAATTTCTCAGGGTTAGTTGATTTCTAAAGTGGTGAGGTTGTTGGATTCGGTAGGGCTGGGTTCTCTTATCTCAGAACCTTATACGGACCACACTCAAAGAAGTTCGAAAAAAAAAAAAACAGACTGCCAAAGCACATTCACATTCAGAGGTATTATTATTCCAAAACTTGTTAGTCACCGTCTAACACTTTACAATTGAATACTTGTTGAGGCACTTTTATAACTAAACCACTTTTCAGGTTTAAATTTATTATTATTATTATTACTGGTTGCAGTCTAAGTGGTTAACACTTTACAACTTACTTCGACAACTTTTACATCTACCTTCTGCGGAGCCCTGGTGTGTGACTTTTCACATCTAGTTCTTACGAGTCCTGGTGTGTGACTATTCATGTCTAGTTCTTACAAGTCCCGGTGTGTGACTTTTCACATCTAGTTCTTACGAATCCCGGTGTGTGACTTTTCACATCTAGTTCTTATGAATCGCAGGGTGTGACTTTTCATGTCTAGTTCTTACGAGTCTCGGTGTGTGGCTTTTCACGTCTAGTTCTTACGAGTCCCGGTGTGTGACTGACTTCGACAACTGATTTGTACTCAGACCTTCAAGTCCTTGTTTCCTCAGCATCTCTGCCTTGTCACACCCTTAAATTTTAGTGATTGGTTATATTTGAAAAATAGGAGTATCTTAATTAGATATTCCTCCACTCATTTAAAGCTTACAAGGGTTTAAGGATTTCTGACTCCAACGTATTTCTGTCAGAAATTGACAAATGTTAAGCGTCGCGTGGGATCATAAAAACCTCACTCTTTTTAAGTTATGGCATGCACAAACTGCCAAGTATTGAATTCACAAAGAATTCTTTAGCTATTCCTTAACGTTACTTTCCTCTAATAAACCTTTGACGGGTGTCTTCCTGTTTCTGCTGTAAGCGTGGGAAGATGCTAACAAGAATGGATTTATGTCTCACTACACTTGTTCATTGCATTTCATTTTGAACAATTAAGATTTCAAATTAATAAAGTCGATTACATGCAAATAAGTTGCATAGCAGTGGAACGGTTACACCAGTCGAAATCTTGTAAATACTTATTGAATTTCTGCTGCAGCATTTCTAAATGTTCTTTAATTGTGTCCATCACCACTTTATTGCCATCAGCAAGTGGCCATACAGTCGGGGACATCTCAAAGGACCCATCCGTAATTCTCTAACTAGCAACCAAAATTTGCGAACTACTTCAAAGCACAGCTGTGATAGAACTGAAACAGTTGTAAAACGCGGGATCTCTACTCTTCAAATGGAAGAAGTGACACTATACCGACTTATTTTTGAAATATTTATAATTTTAAATGAGGTTCAACAATCGGTGGGTGCACTGTTACAGGAAGAAAGTCATAAAGTTGAAGAAGCTCAAACTTCTAACAAACATGGGCAAATACCAAAACAGCGTTATAAAAGAGAGGAAAACCCATGCTAATCCCTGCAGTTTTAGGGAAAAGCATGTACACAGAACATGCGGCAAGCATATTAAAGAAGCTGCGTAGATGCAAGAAAAATGAAAACAAATCAATAATGAAAACTATGATATAACAACTGAACCGTGCAACGGTTCTTCTTCGTTAAGTTCCTTGGAGTCCCCCCCCCCAAGCGCCAGGATGCGAGCTGCTCCCTTTCTTTCTGACTAATGTCCTTGGCTGATGTCAGGTCAGCTGACCTTGCCCCCCTCCTGGACTTAGACAGAGGTTTCCTGCTTAGCTCAAGTGGAGCTAATCTTTCTCTCTTTCCGTTGACCTTCGCAAGGAAACACTGCTGCGTCTAAATTTGGTTAGAAATTTGGTTTCGGCCCGAAGCACTGATCGAAGGGGGAAGAGTGCCCTCACAACATGGTCAAGGGTGGCTCAGTCGTGAGGTGAATCTTTGAGTTTGTATATTCAAGAAGTATATTGAAGTAAGTGACTTACTAAGGTAATATACGCTGTGAGGCGCATTTTGGTTTCAGTACTGACGCCGTGTGGTGTAGGGTAATTTTGGTTTTGTCTAAGGTTGTGATAAACAGCAGATCACCCTTCAGGCGTGTTCAGCCATGTATGTAAGCTGTTTATATTTCCTTGTGCCCTCAAAGCTTGCCTAAGTACATGCTTGTACTGGAGAAGTAGAAATACGCCATGAGGCGTGGCTGACTTGACTTTCTGTGCTGTAGGCACAGCGTAGATCTGTATCAATCATTTATCACATGTTCTAACCAGTCACCACCCATCAGGCAGAGTCCATTTGTATACATACTGTCACGTGTCTTGTTACTGAAGACACCGTAGAGATTGTTAACTGGTTTATTTAACAACCTACAAATCACGGCTACAATTAATTATAACACAGTTGCGGGGTTTCACACTTTATAACCCTAATCGCATTAATCTGTTAACACTGCTGCGGGGTTTCACAATTTATAACCCTATTCGCAAATCAGTTCACTCTATCTTCAGTAGGCTACACGTATTCACAGTACGGGAGCTATACAAGTCTCTCTGTATCACACACTCCCAATTACACAATTACACACACGTCCGGTTCTTCTTTCCGCGACGGCTGCTATACTCCAACTGTAGTCGGCTGACTGGAGAAATGTTGATAACACACCCGCTCGTAGGCTTGCTTGGAACTAACTCGGAACTGAACTCGGTGATGGCCACTTTACAACTCACTCGTAGCTGCTGTGCAGTTCCCTTATATAGCCGCAGTGTTGCCTGTTGCGTGCCACGTCACAGTAGGAAGCGGTGCCGCGTCACCGTGTTTGCGTATAGCCTAGCAACACTGTTACCTCGCGCTGTCTTACGTCACCGCGGAGGGAGCGCTGACTCATCCGTCACGTCACTGTGGCCTGAGTTGCCACGTTATTGCTGGGTAGAGAGGGGTTCTCCGTTGCGCAACATGTCACACTATGTTAACAATATATATTTATTTATATGTTTGAGAACGCCAGTTGTGTATATGTAGACTTGTGCCGTATGTTCCATACCAGCTTCTGCCTAGCGGATCCGTCCAGCCTGGCCCATCGTACCGACTGTGGTTTTCCTCCCCCGAGATCCCTTACACTATTCTAGGGAGGCATAGTGCATCACGCTACAAGCAAGTCGTTTCTTGTGAGCCTGTCCCTTACCCATATAGAGTAGGGATTCACGGGTCAAAGTGGGTAGAAGAACGGGGTTCTTTATCCACATGGTCGAGTGTCACGGCTCACAACAACGAGTAAATAATTTTCGTTTAATTTCTTAGAATACAACATTACTGTACATAAAAAATCACAGCATGTAATAAAGAATAAACAAGTATCATCTTATTTAATCAGTGCAGTGGCTGAGAATAAAATACAAGCATATGAAACACGGTAACTGGGATAAAATAAAATGAATAAAATTCGACAATTAATTTCTTACAATAGGTAAAAGTCTGCGTCACACCTTTCACCTTGTGAGGCACACCAATTGTGGAACACTGATCTGGACAATTTGCTTTGTCACTCATTTCTTTATATTTTCATTCCCTCTAAGATTCACTACCTTACTGAACTGCTGGGAATCAGACCAATTTTGCATTTTAGCAATTTATTATATGCCATTAAAAAGCGCTAAAACAATCACTCTACTTTAATTAAAATACTCTATAGTTTATATAATAATCACTACAGTCAAACTATGTAAAATAACTGCGAGAAATCCGCATAAAGAAGCAACAATCTGTAGATTACGTTTCCTGTACTCACTTAAATAGCAAACACTTGCAATCCACCTCTATGTTAAACTGCCCATCTTCTCTTCCTTCCCTCCTGATCACCTGCCCACCAAACTCCTTGTTCATCATCTGCATACCATAGCATATACCTGCAAAGCAAACAAAGCCGCTCTGAATTCTTGCAACTATACAGTGATGCAGAAACTTCCTGATTTGGCATTCTCGAATTTAGGTAATATATTTTCTGGTCCCTGTCAAAGTCCAATATACAGTGAACGACATACTATCTTCCCACATTTCATAAATTTCAATTCAATATATAACCTGGATGTAATGTAGGAACTTTTCAACCTTCCAGAATTAACACCTCAGTTTAGAACTGTAGCAGAAATAATGCTTGATATTCATGTTTTCTCTCCTGAAACACACAAAGTCACACTAATTGTAATGTAATTCCTCTGATTATCAACTGAGGTTTTCTCAATTGTTATTACATGTTATTAATTATTTTACAAATTAATCTGATATTCATATTTTCTCTCCTGAACACACACAAAGTCACACTGATTGTGTAGAGGCATCATATGTAGTTCCTCTGATTCTCTCAATTGTTATTACACGTTATTAATTATTTTACAAATTAATCTGATATTCATGTCTTCTCTCCTGAACACACACAAAGTCACACTGATTGTGTAGAGGCATCCTACATAATTCCTCTGATTCTCAACAGAGGTTCTCTCAATTGTTATTACAAGTTTTTAGTTATTTTACAACTTAATTTGATGTCCTTCATCTCATAATTGTATTAATCTGAATAAAAGAAGTTTCTTTAAGTACATATATAAATAAATTGTTTTATCACAATTAGAGTCCTAGGGGATGAACAGTATCCTGATGCAATTGTGCATTACTCTCCATTCAATGGAAAATTGTAATTAGTGTATGAAAACCTATTCCCCCAGACTAAACAAAATAGGGATTTAGAGTATTTACTTTCAGGCCAGCAACAATACTCACAAGGAGGCTGCAAGACTTATGTCCATAACAGCAGGCTCATTTGTGTGCTTTTCATTCCTAGCTGTAAGTCCTAACAATATTAAAATTCCTGTTTTAAAGTTTCTACAAAAACATTAAACTGCAGAAAATATTAAATAAGAGGATATATGAGAATGAGATAACCAGACTGGAACCATTCATACTGAGGATTCAACCAGTCCGAACCTCATCTTGCATAACATGGGACATATCACTAATTTCTATTCTCTGGCTTTCATTTTCTCATCTGGTGTTATGTGTGCAGGGTCCTGTGTCATATAACACTCAACTGAAACATGCATTCACTTTCACAAGATGCATGTACACAATTACCTAAAACAGGAATTCCTATCCGGAAGATGTCTGCATCATACCGAGGTGCATCCTCTGCGTACACAGAATTTGGTCCTCCAGAAATTATGATTGCTCTGCAAATGAAGAGAGAGAGAAAGAGAGTTATTGAATGAGTGAATTTATATAGCATAGATTTCTTACATAGATGTTCATTATACGAAATTCCCCCTAAGCTGCAACAAGCAATATGGCTCATGCAGTAACACTTCTGGCTTGTATTCAAGATGTGTCCAGACTGAGTGCCAGCCAGAAGCCCAACTAGTCTTACTCGAGTTTCTCATAGCTTTCCTCAGCCCTTTGGGGCAAATGCTGGGACAGCACCATAAATTAAGCCATGACTGATTCTGACCATATACTTTCCAATCCATTATTCCCTATCATACTGTCATCTGACAATATATAATGTGGCATGTAGACCCATTGCTAGATAATGCCTGCAACACACACGTGGCCAACAGTTTCTACATCAGCAGACAAGCTGTTGCTATGCAACACATGTGGTGTAAGGTCGTACAACAATATGTGGCTGTCACATAACATGTTTCCTGCGTGGGCAGTGACATCACACAACAGTAGTGGGTATCTATCACATGACATTGATGATGCGTCATCTTTTCCTTGGCTATACGACATATAAGTGAGTGTCATACTTCAGTTGTCAGTTCTTGGAGTGAGCTCTCAGAGTTAGTTATGAGAGAGAAACAGTAGCAGCAGAAACACGTGAATTGGAGCCAGGATTACAGAAGAATACAGGAGGTCAGCCTGTGAGGATGTAAAGTGTGATTGTAAGTATTTTGAATTGTTTCATTTTTGGTCCGTTACACTATCAATCACAAAGTCAATAGAAAGTCCGTCGAGTGTAACAATTTTTTTTAGGTCACTTCTTTATCACCTTTGCCTTACATGTTTCGGTTTAATAAAACCATCATCAGAGGCACATAGTACAAACATGAAAACACTGTCGTTGTTTAAATGTACACAGTATATATGGTGTGTGGACGCTGCTACAATATGTCGATGTGTAAAAGCACAACACTTGCTAGGATTATTGAATGCACGTTCAACTCTCACATTCCATCCGAAATTGCCCTCAAGTTAAAACGTCAATGTTAAAATATTTAAAAGTTTAAAACATTTTACTTCAAATGTTTTAAACTTTTAAATATTTTAACATTGACGTTTTAACTTGAGGGCAATTTCGGATGGAATGTGAGAGTTGAACGTGCATTCAATAATCCTAGCAAGTGTTGTGCTTTTACACATCGACATATTGTAGCAGCGTCCACGCACCATATATACTGTGTACATTTAAACAACGACAGTGTTTTCATGTTTGTACTATGTGCCTCTGATGATGGTTTTATTAAACCGAAACATGTAAGGCAAAGGTGATAAAGAAGTGACCTAAAAAAATTGTTACACTCGACGGACTTTCTATTGACTTTGTGATTGTAAGATTTTATGTGTAATATCTGTAGTGATTTGAAGTGATAGTTTCTGTGTTCAGATCCGTTGCTAGGAGATGACTAGTGGAAGAACTTTATGAAAATGTCTGCTCTAGGGACTATAATATTATTTAACTGAGATATGGCTAAACAACTTGTATTATTTATCACAATTTAATTTATGACTGCTATACAGTTTTCCATTCTAACAGTGTTGGTAAATAAGACATGTGACAGTGGAGTACTCACTGCCAAATCCTCCAGAGTTTCCTCTTATAAATGCAGATACGATTTAGAATCTTGTGATAAATGTGTACTGGTTGAAATCCCCACTTTAGATGGTCCTAAATTGCTCAATGGAAATCAATACTTTCCCCCTGACGCTAAACCTGAAAACATTGCTAACTCCATTCATTTTTTAGAAAACAAGCTGAATACCCATCATTTTCCAGTAATTATGCTTGGGGATTTTAACACTCCTGGTTCCAACTGGAAAAGTGGTCTATCTCTGCCAAATTCCATTACTCTAAACTTAAGGGAGATGCGATCTACCCCTCCACGTGTCTTCTTAACCTTAACTAGTGCAATGATACTGTCGACAGCAGCAATCTACTTGATTCAAGTTTTTCTAACTTAAGCGACTTAGGGATTACTCCTGTCAACCCTGGACTTATAAAGCCTGACAATTATCATCCTCTTCTGATTACCAATATTTGTCTGCCTCTTGCCACTTGTATTGAAAATTATGCATATTTGCACTGTAAATCCTCATCGGGGAATTATGCATTACTTTATAATACTCTCTCAACTTATGACTGGTCTTGTGTGTATGGTACCACCTCTGCTGATGCTGCTGTCACCTGCCTCAACACTGCTGTTCAAGATGCCATGGAACATGCAATTCCCTGTGGCATCATAAACACTAACTGGTATTCTAGTTCCTTAAGGTACTATATTAGGAAAAAGAATTATTCTTATAGACTGTTTAAGAAAAATAAATCCAACTGTCTTTGCCAAAAATTCTCTTTCTATTGTAAGTTAGTTAACGCGACTATTAAGTCTGGCAGACTTAGATGGCTGAAATCTGTGGATGAAAATTTAAAGTCACAACCCAAGCAATTCTGGAAATATGTGGCCTCCTTTAGGAAAAGAAATTCTAATTCCATCCAGCTTGAGGTTGATGGTAAGCATTTAATCAAACATAATGATGTTGCTGCTGAATTTTCAGAGCATTTTCAATCAGTATACAACAATCCTTGTCCTACTGTCTTCCCCACCCTTTTGCCATCTTCTGAATTCCTACCTTTAGCATCTGTTTCTGATTCTGATGTTATCAAATTCATTAAGCACTTGATATCATCTAAATCTGTTAGAGTCCATGACATCCCTGGATTCATTATTAAGGGTTGTACTGATATTTTTATACCTATTCTTAATATATATCTTTAATCTGAGCTTATCCCAGCATTATTTTTGCAATCTATGGAAACAAGCAGCTTGTTCCTGTTCTCAAAAAAGGCAAAGTACCTGTGTTAGCAATTACAGGTCCATATCCCTTCTCAGTAATTTTTCCCAAGATATTTGAATTTCTTACTCATGGCCATGTTTCACATTATCTCAAATCTAAAATTAGTCCTAAATCTCTAAAACTAAATCCACCAGCACCAATTTGGTAATTTATGTTGATTTTATTTCCCCTTTAGTCGGCACTCAGAGGCCAGCTGATGCAGTTGATTTTGATCTGAGCATGCCTTCGACCTTGACCCACATTCTCTTCTTCATAAGCTTAGTGCTTTTGGGCTTTCTGTTGGCTTTGTCAAACTGGTTTTGCAGTTACCTATCCAACCAGAAATCTCAGGTCCTTGTTTGTGGTGTTCTTTCCTCACATATTGAAGTTCTCTCCAATGTTCCACAGGGATCCGTCCTGGGACCCCTTCTCTTCAATGTGTTTATTAACGACATATGCGATGCAGTTGCCCGCTCTAAGTACCTATTTTTTTGCTGATGACATCAAAATTTACCAAGCCATTAGATATCCTCAGAGCTGCTATCTACTTCAGTCTGACATTAACTCTATACAATGTAAGATTTGAGGCTTTCACGGCGGTAACTATGAAGAAAGCAGTCTTCTGGGATTTGGCACCGTGTATATGTGGTGTTAACCGACATTTCGGAGGTCTCTTCGCTTGCGGATTTCTTATATTTTTCCTTCTACCCTGAAGATGGAGGCTATACGTTCCTCCGAAACGTCGGTTAACACCACATATACACAGTGCCAAATCCCAGAAGACTGCTTTCTTCAACTCTATACAAGGTTGGTGATTCCTAACTATATGAAACTCAACATCAGTAAAATTAAAGTTACATCCTTCTGCAGGAAAACCAATGTATTGATCTATGATTATAAACTTTGCCAATCTTCTATAATCTGGACAGACTCTATAAAAGACCTGGGAGTATTTATTGATGCCAAACTTCATTTTCACGACCATGCCAACTATATTTTCTCTCACTGTATTAAGCTACTGGGTCTAGTTCATAACATTACTTTCAATTTCTCATCTCTAGAATGTATGCTCAGGTTGTACATTGCATTAGTTAGATCTAAGCTTGAATACGCGGCCACAATCTGGAATTCAATTACAACAACTGATGCCAAGAAGCAAGAATGCATCAAGCAGAGGTTTGCAGCCCTCTGTTTTAAGCATTTCTTTCCTGAAGTCAATTACTGTTATTCTGTTGCTCTGGAGGAGTTCAAATTGCACACTATATGTATTTGGAAGCATTGCCTCAATGATCTCTTTCTTACAACTTCTTTATTACAACCATCATAACACAACTAGTATCAGGATCAGTGCCTAGTTTTGGCTCTGCTACATGTTTTGGCTATCAATAGCCGAAACATCAGGCAAATACATGGTTAACATATATACACCACTGAACCGCAGTACTAGTAAAATTGGATACAATATTATTAATTATATAAAATACTTGACATAAAAATACAATAAATTAGAATATATAAAACAAAAGTTATAGTATAAAACAAGAATAAAATTCTTCGTTTGATGTTTTACATCAGTCCTTGGTTTTTGTAATTTTGTTGCGTTCCCATGGATAAATTGGAATATTCTATATTTTGTGTATATATAAAAAATGTATTGGAGGCTCATGATGTAGATGTAGTAATATTAATGTACTTATTTAGTTGCTACCTCATCTTATAAGGTAACAACATTCCTTACAGAATGGACATTACTTTGTAAGATGTGGCGCCGACTAAATAATTAACATTAATATTACTACATCTACATCATGAGCCTCCAATGCATTTTTTATATATACACAAAATACAGAATGTTCCAATTTGTCCGTGGGAACAACAAAATTACAAAAACCAACAACTGACTCGATGATGTAAAATATCATTCAAAGAATTTTATTCTTGTTTTATACCACAGTGGAACCTCTCTTAATGAGCACCTCTCATAACGAGTAATTTGCATAACGAGTGAAACAAATTGTAAAAAAATGACTCGCTTAACAAGCGACATTTCGCATAACGAGTGACGAGAGGGAAGTCCCAGATTGTGCGCTTGCTACATCAGTCTGTGTTTAGCACTCGTTCC